CTTTTCAATCACATCATAAATTTGTTCTAATCCGCCTCATATATTTGTTCTGTGAAAAACACAACCTCTTTATTTGTTTTAACCTAGGACAAAACAACTCCATGTATTAGGGCAGAGTGGGGATTGACAGTAGAGCGCAGCCCTGCAGTAAAGGCCTTGGGATTCTGGTGGAAAACAAGCTGGACCTGTGTCAGCAGTGCTCCCCTGCAGCAGCAACAGCCACCAGTCATGGGACTGCATTAGCAAGTGGTCAGCAAGTGCAGGGATGTGGTCACTCCCTTCTGCCTGGCTCTGGTGAGGCTGCATCCCCAACACCCTGTGCAGTGTTCAAACACACACAGCCCATTGTAAGGGAGATGCTGACACGCTGGAGAGGCTCCAGCATCAGCAGGAGTGTGTGCTGGGTGAGGGGAGATGGGAATTTGGTTGGTTTGGCCCGCAGAAGGGAAGGCTGAGGGATCTCATTGCAGAGATGCTGCTGCAAGGAGGGGGATAAGAATTCCAACACATCCTAGCTTTTCCGGCAAGTGCACAGTGACAACAAGCAATGGTCTCATGCTGCCAGCTAGCAAAATCCTTTCTCAACAAAGGGAGCGCCCCATTTACCAGGAGAGTGCTGCAGGCTGCCCAAGCTGCCCAAGGAGGTTCTAGAACCTCCAACCTTGGGATTTCCAGGATACACGTGGTCAAGACCCCGGAGTGACTTTAGCCAGCTTTGAAGTTAGCCCTGCTTGGAGCAGGAGATGGGATTTCAATGCACATTTTCCACTGACTCAGCTGAACTCACTAATCTGGCAGGAAGGAAGTTGCATTCTGCAGCTTGAGGACTGATAATTCATTGGAAAGGTCAAGAAGCACAGACCTGGTACCTAGAAAAATTTCAAAATCTGAGAATGAAATTCCTAATTAAATTCTAGTCCAACTGAAAACTTGTGTTTATTGTCTGTATTTTTTGCATGTATGGTTTACATACCTGGAATTTTCTTATGATTACATTATGAGGATATGTCACCATTTGTTTTAAACTTTCTTGAACATCTTAATCTTTGTTCCTCAGTTTCCTTTCTGGGTCACTGGAATATAAGAACCCTGCAATCTTTTCTCTCTACAGTGGTGCCACAAACTAAACCTTCCCCACCAGTCAGAGAAGCTCAGTTGATCTTCAGAAACTCTTCCTTCTGCATTCATTCTGCCTACAGGAGACTGTCTGATAAAATCCTCTGCATATTTCCTTCCTTTCAGCTCTTTCCTGAGTACCCAAACCTGGCTAGGTATTTGAAGCAGAGATTGTTGTGATTTTTTGATACCAATGTAGATCCCTGCCCCAGATAGTCCCTACAGCCTTCACAGAGTTTTTGGGCAGCTCCAGGTCCAGGTGAAGCTTGCAGGGGGTCAGGAGTATTGACTCTATTTTCTCCCATTCACCCACTGCTGTTGGCAGAGGAGTAGAGTAGCCTGGAAATATAAGAAAAAAGGACTGGAGAAAATAATCTGTGGGGGCTCAGAAGAATACAGGAGATGGAAGAGTCACTAGTAACATCCTTGCTGGAAAATGGAGTGAGGAAAAGTTGGTCACAGTGAGAAGGGCTCAGAGGCAAGCACTGGATGTGTGATGCCCACTGACAGAGACAGTTTGCTGCCAACCTGCTGTTTGTAAACGTGTATCAGCAACAGCAGATTTTAACAATTAAAGCTGTCAAGGGAAAACTAAGGCTGAGTTTTGCCAAGAATTTATGGGATTGGATCCTCATCTTCAATAGTCCTCAGGATGAACATAGTTCTTGCCTAATTCTTCGAGACTTTCCTGTATGAGTCATTGTTCATGGCAGAATAGCAGCTTTATACACAGATGGTTGTAGAACAGAGGCACCATTGAGAGGCAAACACTGAGACATCTATGTCCTGCAGATACAGGCACACACACACATCAACAGCTTCATCCACAGAAAGCAGTCAGTCCTGCTCCGTGTGCTCAGGCAGAGCCTCCACTCCTTCATGACACAAGAAACCCCTGATGGAATTCAAGTAACCAGCAATTCATGTTGAAGAGGAAAGCTTAGTGTCAGGGAAATATCAATGTCCAAGCTAGCACACCCAGAGGGAGGCTGGCCAGAGGGCTGCCTGGCTGGATTATTCTCCTCAGCTGGCCAGAAGCCTGGTTCTCCATGGGCTCAAAAGAGAAGATCAGACGCTCTGGGATCCAGCAAGCTGTTGTAGATTATCTGGCAAGCCCAAATCATACCACTAAGATTGGAAAAATATTTGAAGGAAAGTTTGGGTGCTTTCATCAGAGTCCTCTTGAGATGTTTTCCTGTTTTTCCAGTGCCTCTCCATGTAATCTTGGACAAGTCCCTTAGGATCCTCAAAGTAGGTTCATGCCCACGTCTCTGTGTGCAGGTAAATTTCAGAGTAATGGTTCAGGTTTGGACTCCAGTGCAGCTCTTAGGAGATAAAGGTCACTGTGAGTGGGCTGAGCTATGACTGTGGGCCAGCACAACCCCCAGATGAAACAGGCAAGGGACAGGTTCCAAAATACCATGCCTGCACTGGAAACCCTTGATACAGAATGTTATGCATGCCAAGAGTTTGCATGGGCTCAAAAAAAAACCCCAAAAAAACCCAAAAAAGCCAAAAAACAAACAAAAAAAACCCCAAAAAACAAAACCAAAAAACCCCTAGCCTCAATAATAGAAATTAATGTGGAATGATGTGATACCACCTCTAACTGGGGAAGACATAAGCTATCATTTGCTGGAAATGAAGAGAGTGTTTTCCGAAATGTCTCTCTCTACCTGTCCTTTTCCCTGGACTTCTGCTGTAAGGTATTGCTGGAGACATGATAATAAGCCAGACAGTCAGATTCAGAGTTATTTGTCTTATGTTGTTGTTTAACACTTGGAAGTTGAGATCCATACAGTCACAGCTCATTTTTATTAATACTGCAATCATATGATTTATAGACAATGCCTTTCTTCCTTTCGATGACTTTTCCATTTAGCATGAAATAGTTAAACATTCAATAAACTCAAAACCATTAAACATTTAATGACCTAGTGTTTACAGAGCTGGAAGAAGAGAGGATTAGGCTGCAACAGTGTCTGCTTCAACAAATATAAATGCTTAGAAATCATTGAGGTGGTCTGAAATGAGGTCAGTCCTCTCTTTGTGGGCACGCTGACCATCATGAACTGCCCAGGATGCCCTGAATGTTTAGTTTGCAGCAAGAGAAACAGCAGCAAGACAGAGGGAATCTCTGATTTGAAATTCTGCAGCCATCTAACAGGAGCACATGGCTGAGACTGAGGCTTTTCAGAGCCCTGAGAAGTGAGAGGTGAACACTGGACTCCTGGAGGGAAGGCTTGGCATCACTCTTTCAAAGAGGGGTTTGTGACAACTGGCTGCTGCTGCCACCTAACTCCGAGGCCAAGTGTCAGAGCTATGAGTCACATTTCTAGGACCAATTACTGCTTGTCATGCAAAGGGTGGGGCCTGCCCTGCCTCTCAGTAGGAAATATGTTGACTGGAATTAGGCTGATGTTATCGGAACAGTTTGTTATTCTCATCCTGCTTCCAAGAAAGGAAGTGAATGGAAGCAGTCATCTCTCCAGGTGAATTATCCTGGCAGAAAAATCCAGTTTATTCTCATGTGAATCACCACAAGCTGTTGTTAGTGTAATACCACTGTCCATTTATAGACAGAGAATACGCTTGTTTATGTCTGACTCTGAAATAGTAGATACAGCTCTGGGCACTGCTAAGACAAAGATGACTAAACCTGCCCTGGAATATCACAAAGTTTTACTACAACCACAGCCAGGCCGGGCACTGCACATCTGACTTCATTTTTAAGGTTGAACTTGTAAAAAGGGAGTTCCAAGTTCAGCAGAGCCACCTGAAAAACTTCTAAAAGCAGAAATCAAAGGTAAAGCCAAGCTGTATCCTTTGGTGCTTTTTTTTAAATTCTTGTTTGAATCACATATTTGATCAGATGAACATGACTCATAAATCTGAGTCCTCTTCTTAGAATGTCTGAAGTCCTGGATGTCTAAATTTCCAAGTGTGATTCTCATGAGTATCTGGTCTAGGACATTCATTCTCTGTGAGTCGCCGACCAAAACGAGACTGTAGACCAGATGAAGTTTTGTTATGAGCCCCTGGATCTGTTCTGGTATTTTGGCTGTTTAAAGCACTGAGAATGTCTCCTTCCACCAAAATTTTTAAAGCATTTTAACAACTGAAAGTATCTTCTGTGTGCACGCTCAGAACATTTACTCTCTAAAACCAGAATTAATTTCTGCTAGTCTCTTAGATATCAAAGGTCATTTAAAGATCCAGGGCTACATGTGGATTCTTTTTAGTCTCTTTCTTTCCTGGTTCCTGGCCTCAGGAGACATGGTGGTGGTGCTGTCTCTTGAGAACAGGTATGGCCAATCAATTATTCATGTGAATCTCCAATCCACCATGGTTATAAAGCTCTCCCACGCTCCTGTGCTATCCCATTCTCATTGGGAACTCTGCAGGATCTTTTCTGAGAAGACAGCTGGAGTCATTTGGATCTTTTTCACAGGCTAGACATTGTCAATTACTGCTTTGAACAAAAAAACCAAACAAACAAAACAAACAAACAAACAAAAAAAACCAAAAAAAAACCAGCAAAAAAATTGACCATGCTGTTCCTACGGCTGTCAAGAGTGAACCTTCTTCTGGTAGTCTCAGGATGTTCTTAGGTCCCTTTTCAGGAAATCTGCCCACCTGTACAGGATTTGTTGTAGTGGTGTTATTTTAAGGCCCAAGAACAAGCTGTGAAATCATGGAATGAGCTCTCTCTCTGACTGGATCACCACAGGGGAGGCTCTCTGCAGCGTTATATTAAGTTGGCTTTTCCTCATTCCCAGACAGCATTTCTTGAAACTAAGATTTCTTCTGGGACAGCTTCTGTACCTCATCATAACTCTGGCTCTGATATGCTAGATAAAAAAGATGCCTATGCTCAGAAATAATTTTCCTCACACACCAAGCTTTAATATCCTTCACAATACAGACATGACATGATGCAGAAGCAAGCACAGGTCCAACCAAGCCTTTGGCAAGAGCTACTCTCTGTTCAGGAAGCAAAGCCATCCTGCAAGCTGAGGAAATAAACAAAATATTGAAGCATTCTGTCAATATCAAACATAAGAAATGCAATATTTAAACCAAAAATAATTATTTTACATGAACCCTTTATGTGGATCTGAGTTGCAACATAGCAACGCCGGGTTTGTATGTACTGAAGAAAAAGGCAGGATTTTGTTTTGATTTCAGTTCTTGCCATCTATAAATGGCACTGTTAGAGAATACTGCTGATAGATGTACCTGGATGTGTGCCATGCTATCAGGTCTGTGCAGTTTTGCCAAGCAAGGCACAGCTGGTGTGATAATACCACATAATGGATCATAGATCAGTAGTTATCATCTTAAATACATATCAAAAGGGGGTGATTTTAAGCAATTCATCACAATCCAGAGACTCAAAAATAGAACTGTGAAAAAAGGCTGAATATTGCTGAAAGAATCCTAATAAAAAGCCCTGCAGAGCTCAGCCCCGATCTGTGCTAAATGAAGGACAGCTACATTGAAAGCCACTTTCTGAAAGGTCTAGGAGAAAGGCCACAAACCAGAGTGCCACACAGAGGTGCCTCACAGACATGAAATTCTCACAGGAGCCACAGTCAGACACACGTGAAGCAAGGTGTGCACTCAGACAAGGCTGCAGGGACACAAGCACTTGAGGATGTGTCCCACACACACTTCACACATGCTCAAGTGTGTCACATCATGTCTTTCTCTCACACCCTTGATTGTGTGTGACAAATGCAGGCACGCAGTGAGTGTCCCAGACACCAGAGATGTCTCACACTCTCACGGATATGATTCTTTCCAAACACAGTGTCTGACACAGAGGGCCATAGGTGTGGGTATGAGACATGCACGGTGCTTCACCCACCATCTCAGAGGTGCACAGGTGTTGCACACACACACACACAGGTGACAAACACACAGTGTCACACACGCTTCAGGCACACCCTGTGTCTGAGTGAGACCTGTACCTTTCACCGACACACACGGGTGTCCCGTTGTCACAAACACAGTGCCTCTGGTACACACACACAGGTGGGCATCACTAATGCACCCACAGGGTGACAGAGCATCTGTCCCCGACACACACACACACACACACACAGAGAAGGGTGTGGAGCACACAGCGTCCCTCAGAACAGTGTCTGTCACACACAGAGGGATGTGGAGCACACAGATTCTCTTGGAACAGTGTCTGTCACACACATATACACAGGGGAGTGTGGAGCACACAGAAAATCCCTCGGAACAGTGTCCATCACACACAGAGGGGTGTGGAGCACACAGAGTCCCTCGAACAGTGTCCATCACACACAGAGGGGTGTGGAGCACACAGATTCCCTTGGAACAGTGTCCATCACACACAGAGGGATGTGGAGAACACAGAGTCCCTCGGAACAGTGTCCATCACACACAGAGGGATGTGGAGCACACAGAAAATCCCTTGGAACGGTGTCCATCACACACAGAGGGATGTGGAGCACACAGAGTCCTTCGGAACAGTCTCCATCACACACAGAGGGATGTGGAGCACACAGAGTCCCTCAGAACAGTGTCCATCACACACAGAGGGATGTGGAGCACACAGAGTCCCTCGAACAATGTCCATCACAAACAGAGGGGTGTGCAGCACACAGAGTCTCTCGGAACAGTGTCCATCACACACAGAGGGGTGTGCAGCACACAGAAAATCCCTCGGAACAGTGTCCATCACACACAGAGGGATGTGCAGCACACAGCGTCCCTCGAACAATGTCCATCACACACAGAGGGGTGTGCAGCACACAGATTCCCTCGGAACAGTGTCCATCACACACAGAGGGGTGTGGAGCACACAGATTCCCTCGGAACAGTGTCCATCACACACAGAGGGGTGTGCAGCACACCGCGTCCCTCGGAACAGTGTCCATCACACACAGAAGGATGCGGAGCACCCAGGCAGCACACAGCGTCCCTCGCAGCAGTGTCTGTGGCACACAGCGGTGCTCCCCGTGCCCTCGCCCACACGCTGTCCCCCGCCCTGCCCCTCGGGTCACTCACACACGCGGTGTCCCTCTCGCTGTCCCGCCGGCAGCAGCGCCACACGCACCGCCCGCCCCGCGGCCCGCTCCGCTCCTCCCGCCGCTCCTCCGCCCTCCTCCCCTCGCCCTGCCCGTCCCGCCTCTCCCCCCGCCCTGCCAGCCCCACCCCGAGCCGGCCGTGCCCGTGTGGGCGCCCGGCGCCGGGGCTGCTCGGTGCCGCTGCCCGCGCCTGGCGCCCGCCGGGCCGCAGCAGGGCCCCCTCACAGGGAGGGATGTCGGGGACGCGCTGCCAGGCGCTGTACCCCTTCTCCGGGGAGCGGCACCGGCAGGGGCTGCGCTTCGCGGCGGGTGAGCTGATCACGGTGCTGCAGGTGCCAGACGGCGGCTGGTGGGAAGGGCAGAAGGAGGACGGGCTGCGCGGCTGGTTCCCGGCCAGCTACGTCCAGCTGCTGGAGGTAGGAGCGGGGCCGCGGGGCGGGAGGGGCGATGTCCCGCGGGGGAACCGGCGGTCCCGGGGCTGGCTCGGTGCTGATGTTGGATCTCCCTCGGGATCGCTGTGCCCTGCTCCGGGCAGGTGTCCCGGCACCCCGGTGCTGTAAGGATCCGCTCGCCCGGCCTCGCCCCGGCAGGCAGAGCGTTTGGTGCTCGTGGCTGTAGCCATGGAGAGGCAGAGCTCAGGTGCGTGACGGGCTGCTCCGTACGATTGGGTTTTCACAGGCGCTGGGCAGCAGCACAAGTCGGTGAGCGGCTGCGGTGATGCAGCCCGTGGCGGTCGCTCACGAGGGTCGGATGCTGGGCTAGTTCCGCTCCTCATTACCTTTCACTGAACTCGTCGTGGAATGTGTTGTGGAAGAGGTAATTCAGGTATAGGATGATGGAATCACAGAATGGGTTGGGTTGGATTGGAAGGGACCTTAAAGTTCATCTCATTACACCCACTCTCACATCTTCCATTAGACCAGGTTGCTCCAAGTCCTGTCCAACCTGGCCTTGGACACTTCCAGGAGAAACCACAGGTTTTCTGGGGATCACCGCCTTCGCAAAAGAGAATTTCTTCCTAATGTCTATTATAAATCTGCCCTTCTTCAGCTTGAAGCTGTCCCCCCTTCACTCCTTGCCCCTTTCCAGTGTCCTTCCCCAGTATCTGCAGGTACTGGATGATTCTCTAAGTTCTCCCTGGAGCCATCTCTTCCTCTGTTGCAGCAGTTCCCCAGCCAGCTGCAGTCACCTCGCTGCTACACCTGTGGCATGGCTCAGGGAACCCCAGCAGGGTTAAGGCAGGTTGTGCAGACCCGTGGATTTTCTGTCAGGATACTGAAAAGTTCTGTAAGCTTCAGTCATTTTCAGGGCCCTGACAGCTGGGATGACAGTTGGATTCCCACCTCGGGACTGCTTGTGCCTGAATGTGTTTACGGCTTTCAGTCCATGCAAACAAGACACCATATGAGGGTAAAAAATACGTCCATGAAGAGTGCCTTCACAATCTCTGCATGAGAATTCTGAAACATCTTACACACTAAAGCAAGAACTTGCCGTGACCCCATCAGTCCTCTCCTCGCTGGCCATGCCTTGTTGTCATTTGGAGCCTACGCCGAGGCTGGGGACATGGCAGTGGTGTCCAGGAGCATCTCCCTGCGGTGACTGGGCTGAAGCCATTCACAGCACATTTCTCAGGTCAGCCTGTGTTTGTCCTCCCCTTCCAAGGGGAATCAGCCAGCCTTCTTTGCTTATATGCAAGGCAGGCAGTGCCCATCCCCAGTTTTCCATGCACACTTCCCAGGGAATCCAGAGAAGCAGAGTCCTGAGCAAAACCTGCTCACCAGCTGCCTGTTGAGCTTTTCTGTGAGGAGAAGATTTTGTGCAAAAGGGCATTTTGCTCACAAGTCTGGTGCTGCCTTTGGATTTCTCTTGTCCAAAAAATTTAAAAATCTATGATGTTTCCACTGATTTCCTGTTTCTTACTAATTTTCCTGGGAAGACAGGAAAGTAGAAGCAAGACTTGCCGATGAAGTGCTACAAGAATGAGGCATTGGGCTTTCCCTGCAACTGACGCACTTGGGATTTCTTTTGTTAGTTTCAGAATGTGAGAGTCCTGTTGTTTGTCAGTTTTGCCACCTACAAGATCATTTATTGAGGTACGTGAATGTTTGTGGTTTCACAAATTGCTAAATGTTTACACATCTAGGAATTTGGGAGTTGTTTGAGGAAAAATGTATCATGAGATGCGAAAGATTCTGCTGAGCAGAGGCAGTGGGGAATTGCTTCAAAATACCATAACTTTGCTCTCCTGTCAGCTCCTTCTCAGAAACTCTTGTTTCCCTGCTTAAGTCTGAGCAAGTTTCACCATGCTCAGATCAGTGCCCACACCCCGTAAATGTTATTTTCTGACCCTCGGCTTGTGTACCACCCACAGCTTTGATGGAGACCACTTGTCCACACAGCCTGGCCCCCTTTCCCTTGGGCAAGAAAAAAGAAGAAAAGAAAAATGGCAAGGGCTGAGTGTGTTCACTCTGGCATGTTTTCCTTTTCTCCAGAAATGGTACCTAATAAGGACTATGAACTGGAGTTTAAAAATACATCAAATGAGAGCTGATTAACCAAATCCATGGGATCACTGGTGTTTGGTACACATCAGAGTAGATGTGTGAGAAGGAAGCTCTGTGTGTGTGTGTCTGTCGTGGCTCTGTTCAGGTAGCCTTTCCCTTCTCTACAGGTGGTTTATCCCTTGTGTGCAGCTTGCTCAGGGACCTGATCAATCTGCAGACAGCACAACAGGAATGCTCTCCTTCTCTATTCTCTGATCCGAGTCCCAGCCCAGCCACACTGACATGGGAACTGATGTCAGGGAGGTGGTCACAGTGCATGTCCAGATGGGGCCATGGACATCAGTCTCCTTTCTGTACCAGCCAGCCCTTCCATGGGCTCTGGTGGCCCTGGTCTTGCAGCTCTCAGTAAGGTTCAGTGCTCTTGTCCTCAGCTGAACTTGACCACACATGGTTCTTTGAAGAGGAAGATGTTACTCTCTCCCTCTGTCCTGCCCTCATTCCCTTGTGCCCAGTTTACCCCAGCAGCCACTTGTGCTCTCTCTGGAGCCTGAAGGAGAGCTGGCTGCATTTTCTGCCACAGCAGAGACTGAACGTGCCTCGTGGCATTGCCTGCCCCCACAGCACACACCCTTTCTTCTCTCAGCGAGGCCCATCGGTGGCTGGGAGCCACCAGGAGGAGGTGACCTTCTTCTGAAGCTTTTGTGACTTGAAGCCTGCACCGTGTGTCACAGGAAGGCTGGATTTTCTCATTTGTAGGGCTTCACACTTACCAATCCAGGGGTCTCATCTGACAGCACTGGTTCGAAAGTCTGTGCTGAGTTTTGGTCCAGAGCTGAAAGAGGGAAGTGAGAAAGGTGTGAAGAACACCAGAAAGGGGAAATTGTGTTTTCAATTTATTCATCACAGAGATCAAGGAAAGGACCTTGGGGCAAGAGAGACATAGAGAGGTAAAGAGATAAAGACATTTGGCATCCTTTTGTTTCCTGCTCCTGTGGCTGCTGCAAGCTCTCAGTGGTGAGTTAGAGGAAAACAGTGATGGCTGGAGGTTCCTGCTCAAGGCAGTGATGGAAGCAGTGAGAGCTGGAGCAGGACTGGAGGAGCTCATGGTAGGGACAAGCCAGAAATGGCATGTCTCTGTGAGCTCTGGAGAGGATACCACTATCAGAGAGCAAAAGTGATAGCATAGACCAAAAAACTATCAAAAGCAGAGAGCAAAGAGAGAAAGGGAGGGTATCGGCCTTGTGGTGGGGTTCCAGATGGATTCCCTGAGGCTGGGCTGGTTGGGAGCAGTTGAAGAGGCTGCTGTGGTTTTAATCACAGAACCACTGGGTTGGAAAGGACCTTTGGAGATCAGCTAGTCTGGCTTGCCTGGCTATGTCTGTTAGGTTTTCAGTGTGTGCAAGGGTGGACACCACAAGGTGTTCTGGACAATGTATTCCAGTGTTTAACTACCCTCACAGTTTTTTCTTGTGTCCTTTAAAGGAATTTGTGTCCCTTTTAAGGGATTTTCCGTGTTTTAATCTGTGCCCATTGCAGCTCATCCTTTCCCTGTGTATCACTGAGACCAGTCTATATAATTTTTTTACTGTCCCACCCATAGATTTTTATTTGCACTGATAACATCCCTCTCAAGCCTTCTTGTCTTGATGCTAAACAGTCCCAGTTCTTTCAGCCTTTCTTTGTATGACAGATGCTCCAGACTCTTAATCATCCTCATGGCCCATTGCTGGACTCTCTCCAGTGTGTCCTTGTCTTCCTTATGTTAGATAACCAAGTACAGTTCCTTACACCGCTGTAAATGCAAGGTGAATGGAGAAATGGTCCCTAAGCAGTATTTCCTGAGCGTGAGAATCCATGGGCACTTTGGTTTTCCTTTGGCTGAGCTTGCTGTATGAGCAAGCAAAACCCTTCTGGAAGCTGAAGGGCTCGGGGAAGGAAGATGTTGATCCATAGCCTATTGAATAGATACCATCAGCTTCAACTCTCACCTCTCTTTTGGTGATTAATAGCTATGGCAGCTGTGAGACCTGAAAATCAGGGATTTTCTGACCCTTTCCTCCCTCCTGTGTGCTTTATATTTTTGCCTGACCTTTTGACCATTGAGCAGAGCCCTCCAGGGCCCCTCAGTACCAGACTGTGGCAGCCCCAGGTTAGGCAATTGGCCTTCCCAGCCTGGAACAAGAGGGAATCTGTGCAGGTGCAGGTGAGGAGATGGTGCACACAGAGCCAATGGAGTGGGGTGTGTGATGCACTGAGGGATTTCTCAACAGCTCATGTTTCTTATCCTGAGGCTGGCTGCATCAGGGTGCTTGGGATGATGATGTGTGTAGAGAGATCTGTACGTCTCCAGAAGTAAGGGCAACCTGGCAGGAGGCTCAGGTGCTCCAGTTTGTGACAACCTTTATAGTGCAGGGCAGCACTGATGTTGAGAAAGTGGGGTAGTGTGTATTCCAGGAGGTGCTTTGCATGGGACCCTCTGGAGAAACCTCTGTTGTGTCTGATTTCTCTAGACAAGTGATTTTTGTAGTGTTGGAGAGATGTATCACTCAGTCACATTTGCAAGTGGTTTCTTTGAAAACCTATTTTTGGGCCTTGATTTTTGTATTTGTAGTTAACTAGAAATCACTTATATAAGCAGCAGCAGCAGCAACATATGCAAATTTGCTGGAAATTGTCAGCACTTTTTATAGCTTCAGTCATCCCACAGATGCAAGTCTCTGTATGAAGCACAGCGTGTGCTTCCAGAATGGATGGAGGTGGCTCTGGAATCTGACTGAGCAGGACTTCGAGCTGCCACTGATCTTATCTGCACTCCACAGCTTGATTTACCAGAACTGTGAGGCACTTAGGAAGGAAGGAATGGTGTGCTTCTCCCCGGTGCAGGCTTCACCTGCAGCTGTCAGACAGAT